ACATTGTGAATCTGACTTACTATTATGCACATATAAATATGAGAAGGTTCACAATGTGAATCTAAACAAGTTTACAATATTAATCTGAACAGGTTTACAATGTGAATCTGAACTGAAATATGTTTTTTTTTTTTAACATGAATATGAATCTATGTTTAAAAAGTACAAAAAAGTATGAATTTTGATATGACAAAATTGCAAAAATGGTCCCTGTGGTATGCAAAATTTTGGGGTTTATTCCAAACCCCGAGTTTTTTTGGATTCATGGTCCTTTTACAGTGGTTTGTATGTGGAATTGGTCCCCGGACTTAACTTCCGTTAACTTGATGTTGTTAACCCCCTCATGTGCCTCTCACATGAGGGTGGGTATATTTGTCGTTTTACTTCTAAGGGACCATTTTTGCATTGAAAAAAATATATCCCTTTTTAAAAAAATATATTAATACCTATTTATTTATTTTAATAATTAAAAAAATAAAAGATCACTCTCTCTCTCTCTCTCTCTCTCCATTTTAGATCCAAACTCGATTTCATATTTGAAAAATGATTTCATGTTCTGGCGAATGGGAAAATGGGCACACAACATAATCACCATCATCTTTCCCGTATCATCACCTTCCTCTATTGCTAAATCCATCTTTAATTTTAGAAACCCCAACTCCAATTTACCCCACCCCCAAATTTACTCCTATCACTTTGTACCTCCCGTCCGTCGGTGAGAAGCACTATGGTCCAGTGGTCGCTGAAGATCTTGATCTAAATCTGGAAGATGGTGGTTTCATCTGAAAGCGGCGCAACACCTAAGAAGCTAAAAGGATTTTGTTAGTCGGGGTTCACATCAGACACAACAAAGCGAAAATGGGTTTGGAAGGAAACGACTGCGACGACAATGGCGGTGGAAGGAAAGGGTGTTTGTTCGTCGGAGTTCACATCGAAAACAGCAAGGTGACTGTGGCGTTGAAAGTGAAAGGTTGTGGCGACGACGACAATGGAAGGAAACAGTATGATGTTCCGTTGGTTGCTGGTACCTATCTAGGGATTGATAGTGTATGAAATTGATGTGGTGAGAAATCTGATGGTCGATTGGTCGTTGGGTGTCCTGTCACAACTCTAATTTCCAGCTACCTAATGGCTTCCGACTGTGAATGTGGCATTTGATGGTGGTTCAAACAGATGAGAGAGAGAGAGAGAGGGAAATAAATATACGACTTTCAGTTTTAGTCTAATATGCAGCTACCTCAAAATCTATTTAATTTTTTGATTTACAGCTTGCATCTTGCAGTGGCACACTGTGAAGATCATCGCCTCCTTCCCAGATTTGTTCGCCAAGGGGTTTTTAGATGGTAACTCAAGAATTGGAACCCTAAATTTGAATCTAAACTGAAATTATGCGTGTTTGTGTGTATGAATCCCCACAAATGGAATCAGATATTGAGTTTTTGTTTTGTTTGTGTTTTTTCATTTTCGAAATCGATTTGTGCATGTGTTTTTGTTTTTGGAGAATGTGTGTGTTCTCATTTCTGGAAATCAATTTGTTTGTAGGTATTCAACCCCATAAATTTATTTGTATGTGGGTGTTCTTGAATGACATGTGTGGTATGAATTGATTGATGGTAGTTCGGTCTTGTGTACCAGAAGAACATTAGGGTTCTACTTTGGTGGATGCTATTGGATTTGGTGGATATCATAGGAGAGAGAGAAAGAGAGAGAGAGAGAGAGAGAGAGAGAGAGTTTTTTTATTTTTTAATTATTAAAATAAATAAATACGTATTAAATTTTTTTTAAAGGAATATATTTTTTCAGTGCAAAAATGGCCCCTTAGAAGTGAAACGACAAATATACCCTCATGTGAGAGGCACATGAGGGGGTTAACAGCAACATGTTAACGGAAGTTAAGTCTGGGGACCAATTCCACATACAAACCACTCCAAAAGGACCATGAATCCAAAAAACTCGGGGTTTGGACTAAAACCCCAAAAATTTGCATACCATAGGGACCATTTTTGCAATTTTGTCTTTTGATATATTTATTAATTTTTTTTTCTATAAAAAAATAGACCTTAACTTTTCAACAAAGAAAATGAAGTGAATTTTTTTCGAAAAAGAAAAAGTTCGTTTTTTATATATTATCATGGATCTCTATGGAAAGAGCACGAAAAATCGTGAACAACGGTATATTCAGGTTTTTTTCGATAAAAAACATGGCCTAAGAAAATTTTTAGACGAAAAAAAGGAAGTGATTTTTGTTATAATCCGGTGTATGTGCGTCTATTGTAAAAAGTCTATAACCCCTCATTTTGCCGTTGATCGCTTTAAATTTTGACTCTTTAGATTGGTTCATTAATTAAAAATGGTTATCTATTGAACCAATTTTTTTAAATGTTTTCGTGAAAAGAATTAATATTATATTAAACAAACTTTTTCATTCCCTAATTATAACTAGTTGCCACTTGTTGTTGGACAAACCGTCGGACCACCGCCGGTCCGCCGTCACACCACCGTTGGACTAACACGAAATTCAATGGTATTTTTTGGTTGGTCTCACAGCTTAATAGAAAAACATTGTAGTTCTTATTTCTTTAGTAATATTTTTTAATAGATACCATTTTATTTTTGCAACCAAATATACAAAATTTTAATAAAAAATAGATTTACGCTTTGACATATTCCTTTTTCTCTTTTTTTCTAAATTGTAGATATCTTTAAAAAAATATATCGCGTGTAAGATATATTCACAGTTTAAAATACAATATTAACAATTTAATAAACATATTAATTCGCTAATACACAATTTAACGTTTTCATTCATACATTGATTCAAATTTTAACACAAAATATATATAAAATATCCAACTTAATACAGTCTAAAGTCAAACTCAAACTCTACCACCACCATCACCAACAACTACCACACGCCACTACCAACCACTTGTGTCACCATCGTAACCATCATTCCTTCCAAATCATATATGCATATAAATTCATAGATTAACAGCTTAAATACTATACTCACAATTTAATAAAGTAATTAATTCACTTATTTAGAGTTTAATGCAATATATTTATAAAAACTAATACAGTCTTACATTTTTTTCAAAGTTTATTTACATAAATATTCACAGTTTAAATTTTACATTCTTTATTCAAAATTAGATAAAATCATATTTGTGTATAATATTTTCTTAAAGCTCATATTTCAAAAGCAAACAAAAATTTATATAAAAAAAATCACAGTTTAATACTAGTCAACTCAAAGCTTAATACAGTCAATTCACAGTTTAATAAAAAGATTCACAGCTTAATAATTCACTGTTTAAACAGAAAATTCAAATCTTAATGCAGTCAATTCACAGTTCAAAACACAAAAATAACTTAATATAGAAAATTCACATTCTAATACACAAAATGTATGCATTCATAACTATATTATCAACTTAAAACTTTTAATACTGTCAATTCATAGGTTAATGCACAAAAATGACAACTTAATGCAATCACTTTACATTTTAACATACAAAATTCACAGTTTAATATATAGTCAATTCACAATTTAAACAGAAAAATCATAGCTTAATGCATTTAATTCACAGTTAAACACGAATATCACAACTTAATACACAAAATTCACAACTTTATATAATAAGTTCATGGTTTAAGGGAAAATGACATAAAATCCCTTAAGTTTTCACAAAAATGTTGGTTTTACCCTTGGACGTGTTTTATGTCCAGTAAAGCCTGAAGTTTTGTTTAATTTGTTCATTTTTACCCTTGTAGCCGGTTTCCAGGTAACCTGCCGGTTACCTAGGTTACCTAATGCCAGTAAAGCCCTTGAATTTTCAAAAATGTTCGGATTTACCCTTAAGTTTTTCAAAAATGTTAGGATTTACCCTTACCTTGATTGTTATTTTGATTATTATTATTATTATTATTATTATTATTACATTTTTAATTGTATAAAAATATTTTTTACATACATTTTTAAATGAATAAAAAATTTCATACGTTTTTAATACATTTTTATACATATTATTATAATTATTATTATTATTATTATTATTATTAATACATTTTTAAATGTATAAAAATATTTTATACACATTTTTAAAAATGTATTTATTTGTATTTAGTAGTTATAAGTATAAATATATATTTATTTCATATAAAAATATATTATATACATAAAAATATAAAAATACATATTTATATGGTTTATATTATATAAAAGATATAATTATATGTATTTGTACATATTACCAAGTATAAATATGTATTTATTATCAAACATCATACTAAATAGATAAGCAAAATAAATATTCGTTAATTAAAAACATAATGTAACAATTATAAAACCCTCGTAATTAGAAAACCTCAATAAAAACACTCGATTACAGATAAGATTTAGTATAAAATTTGAAAAAACCTCTATTATTCAACTATATTAGGTTAAATAGTGAGTAGATAACAATAAATGATCAACAAATAACACTTGTAAATGGAAAATACATAATATAATTAAAAAAACCCTCGACAAAAACACTTGATCACTGTAAAAATTAAGTATTATCAACTTAAAATCATTCATTAACTATTTTTATCTCAAAAATTGATAACGAAATGTCAAATACGAGTGTAAACTTCATTTATGTTTGTTGTAAGTTCACAAAAAAAGATCACGAAATGCATCATTTTTTATATTGATCTGAAGCATTTGTTTTTGCAAAATCAGTCATTGACGGTATTTTTACTTTATCAAGCTTTTTCTGTTCGATTCAACAATTATAGATGAAGATTTAGGGTTTTCAAATGTATATAAATACTAAATACAAGTACATATATTTTTAAAAATATATTTATATTAGTAAAAATATTTTTATACATTTAAAAATGTGTGTATAAAATATTTTTATACATTTAAAAATGTGTGTATAAAATATTTTTATACATTTAAAAATGTATGTATAAAATATTTTTATATAATTAAAAATGTATTAATAATAATAATAATAATAATAATAACAACAACAATCAATATAAGGATAAATCCGAACATTTTTGAAAAACTTAAGGGTAAATCTGAACATTTTTTAAAATTCAAGGGCTTTACTGGCATTAGGTAACCGGTAGGTTACCTGAAAACCGGCTACAAGGGTAAAAATGAACAAATTAAACAAAACTTCGGGCTTTACTGGACATAAAACACGTCCAAGGATAAAACCGACATTTTTGTGAAAACTTAAGGGCTTTTATGTCATTTTCCCATGGTTTAATACACAAAAAGTATGCTTTCACAACTTAATAACTTACCAAATTCCATTAAGGCATTTCATCAAACACCTTGTGTGCATCTTTTCTTTCAGAACTTCCTTTTGTAAACACCAACACTGAAAACCATATCTGATGCGGTGGTGGAACCACCGCCAACCTCCATGAAACACACCAACTTTGGTTCTAACTAGACTGAAAATTCACAAAAAAAAAATCTAAAATCAAGCCATCAAAATGACAAATTGAAAATAGATATTGGAATTCAATCTCATACACTTCAAAAAAAATCAACAGATCAAATAAAAAAGAAAAAAAACAAGCCAAAATCTTACCTAACTAAGAACAAGAGTCACGCCTTAATTTCAAGCTGCCGGCAAAGATGAAAAAGAAGATAGGGGTGTTTTTTTAGTTTTAAAATATAATAAAATTAAAACACAAATGTAACAAATACTTATAGGATTTAAGCTCGTATAATTTTCATTCTTCTCAATTATTAATTATTTATATAGTTTGTATTCGATTAGATCCAACTTCTAATCTTACATTTCATCGCATATCACGTCTTCATTTTTTTCATACCAAAATAATATCCAAATAAGAATGTTAAATAACAAAAACATTAAACGATAAAAAAATGGAAGTCAAAATTACCTTTTAGTAATATGAACTAAAGAAGGAATTGCATACAATCACGAGAAGATCCAAAATCTTCATATTCCGCCTTTGTGACACAAAATGCATCCAAATCAAAAAAGCTTCATATGACAAGAAGAAGAATCACTTTGATCTACCGGAAGAGATAAAACAGAAGAGAGATATAGGGTTTTATGAATTGATTAATGTGGCATATGTCCAAATTCAGCATACTCAATCCATCATCGTTTTTTTGCAACTACAACACCAAGAGTCTTCTTGTCACACTCCCTGAAATAGTCATGAATGGCTCTGATTTAGTATATGAGTAAAAATGAAGAACACAAATAAAGTAAAATCAAACAATTGGTTAACCTAATCCATTAAGAAGAAAAATCTCCCCCAACAATGCTTGTAACACCGAAGACTTTCCGTAACTCTATTAATAATTCCAGAACAAGTGAGCAAAACACAACAAGATGAAATGTTTAAATCTCCACAAAAGCAAAAATAAACATCAAAAAGAGAAATAGTAGGGGCATTATCTTCAAATGCGACAAATTTTTACATCTCAATCAAAGCAAATGAAAACACTAGCCAAATTTATACTTCCTCTACAATATGAAATGAATTCCGTTACTTCTAAGCAAACCGATTCTGCCAAAATTGAACTTCAAAACTATCGTCTTCTCAAGCAGAAAATGGAAAGGAAAAGTATGATGTTGGATTAGGTTAAAAAGGAAACAGGAGGAAGAGAAATCTGGCCTCCGTCGAGGAAGACTGACGGAAGAGCATCCCAAAGAGAAGCCAAAGCGGAGTCTCCACCACCGTAGTCGCCAAGAGCAGTATAAGCTCTTTGAATACCTTCGATTTAGATCTGATAGTTATTCTAGATAGCTATAATAAACCTCACTCTAAACTTCGATGTAAATCTGAGCTGTTAAAGGAAGGAGACGACGGTGAGAAAAGAGGAGCGACGACAATGGAGGTTGCGATTGGCGGAGAAGGACATTGGTGGAAGATTTTGATCGGTGGTAGAGGCAGGAAAGGGGAAGGGAGGTTTGGGGATTTTGCTGGAATGCTGGAGAAGAAGGAAAGACGTAGATTAGGGAATGACTTATGGAAACTGGCTAGTAATTTCATTTTATTTACAATAATGCCACCGTTTCATTATTATATATATATATTAAAGTTTCATTATTATATATATATTAAAGTTGTGGAAGAAAGAAATAGTAAAGGTGGCATATTCCCCTTGATTTACATATCCGGTTCATTTACTTCTTTAATTAATTTATTCATGTCTTTTGTTTGTGTCCCATTCAACTTCCCCTTTTTTTGGCAGAATCGGTCCTTGTATTATTATTGGAAGTTAGAAATACTAAATTTGGATGTTTTTTTGGCAACTTTGCTCATTATTCTTTACCCATTTTGACACTTTTGGTCCTTGCAATCAATATTTTTACACTTTTTTGGAACCTTTTAATATTTAAAGTTTGGCCACAAAACTTTAACGGTTTGACAACTTTGATCCATTTTTCTAAAAAGTTGCTAATTCCTACCCCTTTAATTCTATAGCCATTTTCACATTTCTGGTCCTTGCAGTCAAAACTTTTACATTTTTTGTCCGGGGCAAAGCCCAGACTTTTCATCCTTGCACTTTCTATGTCTGTCATATTTATCAATTCGGAAACAACATTGAAAGCTTCTGGCCCCCGCGTAGCGGGGGTAACCTTTCTGGTTTATTTTAAATAGGTTCTCAATGTTCTTAATCATCTTTAAGGTTTCTCATTTGAACATTTACCTTTATATATATATATACTAGCCGTTTACCCGCGCCAAGCGCCAGGATTGATTTTTTTTTTTCAGAAATTAGTTTGTAGAGACGGTTAGTTCTTTTACGCAAATAGTTTAATACATCTAAACAGTTATTAATATGATTCATTATCAAGGCGGCACAAAATATAAGTGTTACCCGCGCGATGCGACAACGCGATAACGACAAATAGGCTTTTTTGGTGATTTGTTGACAACGACAATTAGTTTTCTGTCGGCGTGTTATTTCGAGATAAAAAAAATCATTGCTAAAATGGATTTTTAAAGAAATATGTGTTGCAAATTTGGTTAAAATTTAAAATATTTTGTTTTGAGCTACAAATAAAAATACGATTTTTCTTTGGTTAAATATAAAAGTATGTTGTTTTAAATTAAAAATAAAAATAAGTTGTTTTAGATTAATGATTAATAAATTGATCCACAATTTCATTCGACTTAAGACTTCGTAAAAGTAAAAGAGATAGGGTGATTTCCATCAAATTAATCATAATTTCTTATGGTTCCCAAACATGTGAATAATACATTTTAAAAATTTTACCAAAAATAGAAGATAGTTTTTCATTTAACTGATAAATAAATATTAAATTTCTTAAAATGACAATCTAAGGTGATGGTCTTGGATCATTATATTCAAGAATTTTAACCTTATTTGTTTTCAAAATCACCATGAAGTTCATCTCATTCGTATAATAACAATTTTATATATGTTGTTGTTTGAACTAAATAAAATCATAAAACAATTATAGCTTTAAAAGACCTTATAAGTGAATTAGTTACAGAATAAGAAACCTTGTCATTTTCGTTTACTAAGCCAAAAGAACCGGCACCAAAACTTCCATATAAATCATCCATCAATAATTTGATATAACAATCATATCCACCAAGATGAGATCGAAACTTAAATATTTTTGTTATTCCTTTTAACAAATGAAGATAACATAAAGGACTGGATTTGTAAAAGATAATATAAATTTCACACACAAAAAGGGAATATATCAAAAGCAAAATTGGATTTGTAAAAGATAATCTAAATTCCACACACAAAAAGGGAATATATCAATAGCAAAATCAGGCCAAAATCCTTGAAATAATTCAACATTCATAGCATATACACCATAACATGTATATTGAATTAACAATGTATTTTAAACTATAATTAAATTGTAAGAATGTAATAAACTTTAGACAACCAAATAGAATTGTTAATATTTGCGTCACATTTATGGAAACATTGCACTAATCTCACATATAGGTATGCTAGCTAATTCATAACATAAAAACATCATCTAAAACTCCAAATTTTAATATTTTTTTAATAAAGTACAAAATTGGCCCATGGGGTGTTTATGATAAAAGTTATGATTTTGTCTAAAACAATTATTTGTTGCATCGAAACATAAAGATTAAATCAAAAAGGTACATACCAAAAGGATTGTTTTTGTAATTTACTTGTCCTTTTTTCTAGCAAAATCATGCATAAGCCCAAATGACGACAAAATAATGGGGATTGAATAGCCTCTGTTGGTCTTTGTTGTCACTACTATACTTGGGGTGCATCTTTAGCTCATTTTTGTCAAAATACAACTCAAGTGGGAGTGGGTACTCCTGCAGTATAAACACCAATCAAATAATAAGTGTCAAGTGTAAGTAATAGGAAATTATTTTCATTGATTCGAGTTATAGCATCCTACTTTCACTTTTTCAAATTAGAGTGTTTCACTTTGAATAATCTACCCAATTATAGCAATGTGAACCGATTACAAAGCAATTATCACAAATATAATTGGATAGACTTTTAAAAGTATAATGTTCTAATAAGAAAAAGCATGAAAGTATTGGGTTTGTTTTCAAAGTAAAGTGGTTTAATAATAATGAAATTGAAAGTACATATGTTGTAATAGAAAGAAAATAAAAAGAAAATGTTATAAAACACAGATAAATAAAAGTTTATTGCATTTCTTGCAATTAGCCCTAAACAAATGGGTTAAAGAAATAAATAAGACCATACTTTCATTCATTTAGTTTATATAGGAGATTCTTCTTAAGTTAGTGATAGGTTAGTAATAAGAGAGCATACCTATGTTAATAGAGAAATAACTAACGTGATTTGAGCTGACCGTTATGACTATATTCACTCAAAACGACCATCAACACACCTGCAAAATTTAAAAACATTGATGAATTAGGAAAATAGTATATGAGATTATAGAAAATAGTATAGGAGATTAGAGTATCATTATTTGTATCTATTATCTAATAGAGAAAGGAAATTGACTAACACTGTTTTCCTAAAAAGAATAGCACAAGTTAGCAAATAAAGAATTTAACCAATATTTGACTAAATATTTGAACACACTATTGAGTTTTGAAACAGGGATTAAGTGAAAAACACTATTGAGTTTTACATATGTTAGTAGTCATTTGGTATACACAAAAAATGAACCTTTAAACAAAAACACAAAACATGCTGACTGTTGGTAACCAGAAAACAAGAACATGTTGAAATGATAGCAAAAAAATAGATTAATAGGTGACATTCATCTCTAAAGCTTACATGTGAATTTTTCTTTTTTAATTTACCTGTAAATGTGAAATAGCAGCATGTTGGTTCTTTCTTATTAGCTTGAACTTTCTCCTTTGTGACATTCACCTCTTTCAACTTAACTGTGATATATGAATGTTTTCATATTTATCTCGATAATCTTATTTTCAAGAAATATTTAAGAAGAGGTTTAAATCTAGAAACAATCTAGCAAAAAAATTTGTGCTTGATATTCAGCTACCCACATAAATATTCAACTACCCACAGATACACACAAACACACACAAATATACATAAATACACACAGACGATGAGGAAAAAACTATCCTTGTTTTTTAGGAAAGAACTTGATGTTGAATTGACAATGTGAATACCATATCCATCTAAAATGTTAGGATGGTCATAAATAGATTACTTTCCTTTTTTTATTAAGACACATATCACAGCCAATCCAAATGACATACAGACTTATAGTTAAAGGAATATAAACACAATCTTGTTAACTTGAAGCAAAACTGAATGAAAAAAAGATGCAAATAGAATAAATAAGATTCAGTCACAATACATTAAAGTTCAAATATTGGACTTACCTGGAATTCCAATTTAAAATATGACCAAATGAGAAAGAAACACCAAAAAATAAACCAAAAAAAATAAGAGAAGCTTACCGGCGGCGCTGCTGGCGAAGGAAGGCGATGAATTGGTGGCTCTGACAGAGAAATTCCATGGAGTGGTGGAGGAACACGCTGAAGTGGCTGGAAGTTTGAACCAGAGAGCATGTTTGATGTGTGGGTGTCGAATGGTATTAGGGCACAAGGGGGGAGTAAAAAAAATCATGGGTCACTTTTGATATGTTCTTCGTCGGGATGGCAGAGATGCAGACAATAAAGGAGGTTGAGCTTCAAATCGAGCCCTAAAACTGCCAAATCCGATTTAGGGTTAGGGAGTTTAGAGAGAAGAAGGTGGGAGCTAGTTAGAGGAGACGACAGTAAATGTCATCTCTAGGTATTTCAGAGAGGGTTGAGTGGTGTTAGAGATGGTGGCCTCTAGGGTTTTTAGATGATGGATAGATCACTGGTGGTGCAATGGTGGTGGGGTTGAAAGGAGAAGGAAGCACCCGTTCGAGGTAGGGATTTCAGGAGACACTGGCGGAGGAGGCGGCCGGTTAGTGAGGCAAATGGTGGAGAAGAAGGGTTTTCTAATGTTGATACAAGAATCATAAATCAAATAGGAGGGATATGGTGCAATAGTGGTTGAACACTGAAAGATGGATTCAACACTGGAAATGTTGGTCATGATGGTGGCGATATATATATATATATATATATATATATATATATATATAGGATTTGTAAACAGAAACTGCGAGACATAGGGAAATATCGAGATAAGGAATGAGCCCGGTCAAATAAACTTAATAATAGGGATAAATCGTTATTTTTATCTTGATTTTTATCTAATGTGAACAAACTAAGATTTATGATTTGGTAATGCTTAAAATTGTTGTACTTGATGCATTAAGTATTATACCTCTTAAAATTCAGCATTTATGGCTAAATGCTTATTAAGGTATATATATATATATATATATATATATATATATATATATATATATATATTGTTTTCTGCGTCGACCTTATGCCTTGTTAGGCAGAGGGAAAATGTTCCGAAACACTTTTATGTACTTTTAAAATTTTACAATAATACATAGTAGAAGTACAACTTCACGATATCCATACAAAAATTGTTGATCGTTAGAAATTTT